GCTTTTAGACACCCACCCCAAAGCTATTGTCTTTTATACATTTTGAGATTATCTTGAGATGAATTTGGGGCTTTGCGTCCCCGCGGCCCGGTTCGCGACCAGGCCTCCTTTTTGTTACACATCCTCAGGAAGCAGCCCGAAGCAGCTGTCTAACTCCCCGGTACCTATTTACTGCTAGATGAACAGGTGCATTAAGGTGAAAGAAACTATGCCCATTTGGTTCCGCCTCCATCGGGGATCGAACCCGGAACCTCAGGACTACGAGCCTGAAGCGCTGTCCACTCAGCTGTCAGGGCCACCACGTATGCAACTATTTCCCCAACCTCCCATAGAATACAACCAAATCCCACTCGTTCCTGCCCAAAGTGGTTGGGCACCATTCCTTCCCCCCGTCCCATCCCTAATCTTTATCCTGACCCCTTCCCAGTGCTATATAGTCGCAATGGCTTGGCGCTTTCTCCCGATAATTCCCTTCCCTCTCTCCGTATATAATCTCACCCTCTGCTTCAAGCCACGCCCTGTGTCAGGCAAGTCCACTACGGGCTCACCATAGCCCGTGCTACATGGAACTTGTTTCGTGTAGCTGAATCTATAACAACTTCAAGCCACGCCCAGCAGGTCCGACCTTCAACGCGCCATGCGGTAGCGAGCTAAAAGACCATTGTGTTCGTTATTTGGGTGGGTGGTAACCTAGGGTGGAAAGGTCACTGGTGCGGATACCTTGGTTAAATGAGACGTGTTGTGTGGGGCGGGGGAAGCGTTCCCACTGGGGGAGAGTTGAGGTGGTAGTGTGTTGTGGGGCAGACCACAGCTACAAACATGGGAGTGAGTGAGAGTGTGGAGACCAAGTATGATTCACATCAGATTCTCTGTATTGTGCACCCCATACCCATCCCGTGGGCGGTAGTGGAAAGTATTAACAGAGGCACACAATCCCTTAGTTCATTTAGCTAAGCAAGTGACAATCTTTTGAAGCTAGTTACACAATGTTATATGTACAGGTACATATGTATATATACAATCATTTACGCAAATACATATATATACATCGATAATCTTTTGTGTCAAGTGATTCAACAAGAGGCTCACAACAGTCACTATACAAGGCACTTTACATCTATGGCAAGTCACACAGTTACTAGTCTTGCTCCACACCCACCCAACTGGGCGGCAGCTTTAGATTCAAAACCAACCAAAATATTCAATTACTGACTGAAGAGATATTGTTATTATCTAATTAAATTTAAATATATAAATTTGGAGGAGGAAATTAAAATTATATATTAAGCAATTGTAATTACGAAAACAATAATTTAATTGTAACGCCTGTCGTTCTGTTTTAAAATTTCACAAAAAAATCGAACGGAGATATTGGTATTCAAGTACCAGAATGATAGAGATAAATTTTCCATTAAAAAATCCTCGACAATATTGCTTCTATGATATAATAAGTTTTGTACTCCATGCACTTTTCAAAGACGTATTAATTTATGTTTTTTTTCATATTCATATAGCATTGCAAATCTTCAATTCAATATCAAGATTAGTTGGCAAGTCTTCAATATTGTCGCCACTTACACCGCTCTCACCGGCAGCTAAAACAAATTAAAAATAGTTCTCCGGTGTCTTTAAAGTACAGCTCAAAATGTGATTAAAAAGCGAGACTTATTGATATTGAAAAAAAGAATTAAAACAGAATACACGAGTACAACAGAGAATGCGCTCTTGGGCTACAATGAACTAAAAAAAAATTATTTTGAAACCGCTTACGACATGAATTCGATGTACATCGAAGTATAGCCGTCAGCAATGACACACAGGCGTGAACTGTAGTCTAATTAGCCTAGGCGACTCGTGGCGTCTATTGTTCTACGATATTGTACACCAGAAGGCGCTTATGGTTCTTCATCTACGTATATCATCCATCCTCAGTAGATTTGGGTCTTTAATAACCGGCGTGGGAGACACTGCTACAGCACATCACGCCCACATAACCATGGGCGGGGTGTGGGCGGGACGTTAAGGCACGCATCGCGGCCCATCACCATACACGCGAGGGCCAAGAACGAGGCGGTGACGGCCCACCACGCCTCTAGGCAGGCGGTGACGACACTGGTCTGTCACAACACGTCACTGCCAACCACCACGGCACGTGAGGTCCCGTAAGGTCACTGCCAGTTGAACAAACAAGTCACTCATGTGGTCGCTATATCCAGCTGACCGTATTAGGCTAATTACACAGCGACCAGGCTGTGAATTTCTAGTAACCTATATCAGGGCACCGGTAGCCCCTGACAAAGAGCGGACTGGGCACCTTTAGCCCTGGAAACGAATTATCAGAGCACCAGTAGCCGCAGCAACGAGTGATCTAGGCATCAGTACCCCTTCAAACTAGCTATCGGGGCACTATTGCCAGTGTCCGACCCTAAAGTGATAAAGCGTAGCCACGGGACGAAGGCGGAAAGTGACACCATTAGCTGACTGCGAAGCAGACACCCGGGCCTGACTCGACCTCTCCGACGCACGCCCTTCCCTGACCTTCTGGACAGAGCTGAAGGACGCGACTGCTTCAGCCGACAGAAGCGTTACTCGGTCGCTGTGTTTCCTATGACCCGGCTAGCAAGGCTATAGCAGCCTCGTGTAGGTGGCTAGAAAGGTTCACTCTCACCCCAGCCACAGTTAATAAATGCTTCAACTTCAAGAGTCCAGTAGAGAGGGAGACACCATGACGTAAAAGCCATATTCAAATATGTTAACATTAATACTGGCATCAACCACCAAAATTAAAATCAGCCAAAATATAACCACAACCATTCCTCTTTTACATTATATGGTTATTTTGGCTGATCTATTATGACTGGCAAGGAGATCTGACAACGGGTGTAATTTTCCGTCAAGGTCATTGCCAACGTAACGACCGGAAGTGGTAATGGGGGCGCGTCATGATCCTCTCACCTGGGCCCCATACCCCTCTCACCTGACTCCCCATTCCTTTCTCTCACACGCCTGGACCCCCATAGCTCCCTAACACTCGCTTGGCTCCCAAAAAACTCGTACCCCTCCATCCAAGTGCATCCCATACCTGTTCTCCAATACCTCCCTTTCATATTCTCGCCCCCTTAACACCCTTGGCTATTCCCTCACATACCTGAGCCCCCTCTTCCCCCCCCCCTCTCACTCCTTCAGCACCTCTTAAACTACCTCACACGCGCGCGCCATTACTCATTCCGCCAAGAGCAGCTCACTAAAGTAATGGAAAACACCTTCAGGAGAGCAAGTCAAGCTCAGCGGAAACTGACACCTTAACCACACACTGTCTAGTCGCTCGGCGCGTTATTACCAGTCACGGATGTTGATAAAGCCGTTTCCCCAACAAACAGAGGAATTTAACAACAAACAATACAAAAAAGCTCATGCAAGCATCAGGTTGGTATTTCAGACAGCCAATTCTCAATGGACAAGTTATTTTAGAAATGCAGCCTATAATTTGTACACATTTACTTAAAAATGTACGTAATCTATGTATCCTAAACCCTATTTGTACAAGTGTATCCTTCGGCCAAGTCTTTTAGAGAACACTAACTTACGGAAACATTTCCTTAACTTTGTCAAGGGGCCAAGTAAGTAATTAAGAAAACAAGACGCCAAGCCAACTCGAGGACCAAGGCTACTACAACACAAGACGCTCAAGTCAACATGCTGCTTCCAGATCATGCTTCTTCCAGATCAGTGATCTTTCACACCTCCGGTAACTAACATTTGGAACACCTTCCCTCGACACACACACATTCACAAATTAAAATCAGTTGACCAAATGAAGGCTCAGCAGGTGCACGAGGGGTTAAGGAGGAGGCGAGGACGGATTAATGATGCAGGTAGAGGTGGTTGAAAGCACTGGAGGGAATTATTATTATTAACATCTTTATTGACAAAATTAATTACAATTTTGCCTAATCTGAGAATTTTGATAGTCTTATTAAATTGAGGTTAATGCTAGTATTCACTGTCACGCAGGACAGAGGGTCATAGAGGTGAAGGGGTCCAAGAGGAGAGGACGCGGGGAAAGGGGGGATGCAGTTCACAATGGCTGCCTACAGGCAGAAAGTAAGAGTTCCGCCCCAGTCCCTCCTTACCCATTACCATCTTTGTCCACACTTACTACCCGCAGCCAATGAGGATAGTAAGCAGACATGTAAGGGTAGTAAGATTGTGGGCAGTCACTGCCCACAATCACCACTCGCAGCCGAAGCCTACACTTACTACCCGCAGCTAATGTCCACAATCACTTGCCTGCTGTCACTACCCGCAGCCACTGTCCACAATCCGGTCAATCAGATAACGATAGAATTTGGTTTGGAACCGAGTATAATTGATAAGCAGGCGTTAACAGGTTTGGTTAATGAACTGAATATTTTGGTGGGGTGAGGAGTCCTAGCAGACTATTCCCGGGATTAATTTATTACTGGTTGATACCTGGTTGGTTGACTATGCAAGATCTTACCACTTACTACAACTATGTAAGATCTTACCACTTACTACTACTATGTAAGATCTTACTACTCTATGTAAGATCTACCTACTAAGACTATCTGCCTATTAATCCTATATCACCATACGTAAAACAGGCTACTCGATGAAACTGACATATTTCCAAGGAATTAGCACTGAAATATACCGCTAGAAATAATTATATATAGATTATTATATAGTTATATATAGTTATATAAATTATTATATATAGATAATGGTTGACATCGTGATTAGCACACAGTGCACGCTTGTGTACTATTTATATATAAATAGTTGCACATAATACATGGTTGTAAATGCATCACAGTTGTAATTTTACGCTCCATGATACATTAATACCTTGTATAAATATCCATTTATGAATAAATCTAAATCAATCAACACAAACATGTTACTGGATAATATTAAAATTTGACTCCTTTAACAAGGCATCGAATCCCAAGAGGTGAGATAGGAAAGGTCTTCCTCACCTGCTTGTGGTTCTCATTGGCGATGTTAACATCGTTGACCTCGATGATGCGGTCACCCTCGAGGAGGCCAGCGTACTCGGCAGGGGAACCCGAGTCCACCTTGCCGATAAATTGGCCGGGTTTCGACTTCTCAGCGTGGAGGTTGAAGCCATAACCTTCGAACTCGGGCCACTTGGCGATAATGCAGAGCCGTGGGGCGGGAGCGTTGTCGGGGATGTCTGACATTCTCGTCGGCTTCTCTTACTATGTGTAATAAATCTTGAGGGGGGTTTCTTTTTTGAATTTGGGGAAATATATGCAAATGGGGTAATAATCTCTCCGCCGCTGCTCCTGACGCCTAGCACTCACACCACACACTGAGCAACTGCCGAGACATTTTCCTGGCCCGTGTTTTCACTGCCTTGCTGCATTAGGAAAGAAACGCACAGAAACTTTATATTAGTAGGAATCAAAAATTTAAACCCCTCATGTCATTTCCTAAATACATTTTAAATTATAAACAGTTGAATGATGAATACATCAACCGATAGAATGTTGAAAAAAATAATGTGATGGGAGTAGAGCGGTAGGAGACTCGTACGTCTGACAGCTGCGTGGCGTGGGATTTGGTAGGGGGAGGGGGGGTGTTTTGGTTTAGGGGGGGAGGGGGGGTGTCAACAGGTGGATCACGTGGTGCGGGTTACACAAGAGAATGTTCAGGTGAGAGAGAGAGAGGGGAGGGAGAGAGGAAGGGGCCTTGTCCTGTTTAACCTGTACTTCTAGTAAATCAGCACCATACAATCCACCGTTGGCAACGCAACCCGTTATCGTACGACGACGCTTTTCTATCGTATGCGTTACGTAAGTGGTTAGCTGGCTACACTATCCACTATGTCAACTTGTGACAGGAGTTAGCTAGCCACACTGTCCCCTACACCAACCTGTGACAGGAGTTAACTAGCCACACTGTCTAGTGTGGCTAGTTAGCGAACATTCTGTATGCAGAGAACATTCTGTATACGGAGAACATTCTGTATACAGAGAACATTATGTATTCAGAGAATGTTCTGTATACAGATAATATTATGTACTCAGATAATATTATGTACTCAGATAATATTATGTACTCAGATAATATTCCGTATAGAGAACATTCTGTATTCTGTATACAGAGAATATTGTGTACACAAGAGAATATTCTGTATACAGAGATAATGTATATAGAGAACATTATGTTTACAGAGAATATTTTGTAAAACATTCTTTATAAAATTTTATATACAGAGAACATTCTGTATAAACTAACTAAAAAATATATATATATATATATATATAAATAAATATATAAATAAATAAATACAGAGAACTTTCTGTATACAGAGAACAATCTCTTGACAGAATATTCTGCATACAGAAAAAATTATGTTGATAGAATATTCAGTATATAGAAAATATTATGTACACAGAGAACATTATGTATACATATTAGGTTAGACTATGTATGTTACCGGTAGTTAAGTTTGATTAAATGTCTATGTTAATTTTTACTAAAATTTAACATAATCATATGTATAATGTAACGCAAAGCTTTATAATTCCATAAGAAGTTTTTGTAATTATCATATTTCAGGAAAATTCGGCTTATTAGGTAACTTGGCCAATTAGTTATAATTGTATTATAAATCACTAAATCAGCAGTAGAGCTAAAGATATGTTCATTGGGTTTTTTAGGCACAAATAGCTTAGCAGTGCATGGATATATTAATGTAGCAGTACTGAAAACATTTCCCTGCGAAATAGTTCAAAATCTCTTGATACAGAGATCCCTTATCAATCTCTTGATAAGGGAGCCGGTCGGCCGAGCGGACAGCACGCGGGACTTGTGATCCTGTGGACCTGGGTTCGATCCCAGGCACCGGCGAGAAACAATGGGCAGAGTTTCTTTCACCCTATGCCCCTGTTACCTAGCAGTAAAATAGGTACCTGGGTGTTAGTCAGCTGTCACGGGCTGCTTCCTGGGGGTGGAGGCCTGGTCGAGGACCGGGCCGCGGGGACACTAAAAGCCCCGAAATCATCTCAAGATAACCTCAAGAAGATACACTCTACAGGCGCTTAGAACACCAATGATGACAAACTTTTGAAGAACAAAAATCATCATCATTTCCTAATTAAAGAAGTTAAGTTATTACATCAAATACTGAATCCAAAATAAAATAATACTGAACCTTCAAAATTTGAAACAGCGAAAGCCTCTGAACCAGTCGGTCGGAGCCGGTCGGCCGAGCGGAGAGCACGCTGGACTTGTGTTCCTGTGGTCCCGGGTTCGATCCCGAGCACCGGCGAGAAACAATGGGTAGAGTTTCTTTCACCCTATGCCCCTGTTACATAGCAGTAAAATAGGTACCTGGGTGTTAGCCAGCTGTCACGGGCTGCTTCCTGGGGGTGGAGGCCTGGTCGAGGACCGGGCCGTGGGGACGCTAAAGCCCCGAAATCATCTCAAGATAACCTGACCCAGCTCAGAGATATCGCTGCTTCAAACCCAAAGAAAAAACTATTTCACTATCATTACAAAACTACCGACCCCTGTCCCTAGGATGTAATTAACCCCACAACAGTTGCCTAATTCCCGGGTACCTGTTTACTGCTAGGTGGACAGAGGCATTAGGTGAGAGAAAAAAATGCCCCAGCATTTTAAAAGCACCGAATCACCTTCTGTGGTTGATTGTTCAATAAACCCTTGAACTATATGTTTAACACATCTCTAACCCTGTCCATGGAGGACAGAAGAAAATGTATATATGTTGGTTAGCATTGTAACTGTGTGGCCACGTCTGTGGTAGAAAATAATAAAAATAAATTAATAATAAAAAATTTCCATCCCGCCGGGAATCGAACCCGGCGGGAATCGAACCCGGCGGGAATCGAACCCGGCGGGAATCGGCTTCATAAAATATACAAATACTCTACCTTTTAAGCAACCGCTGTAATTTTTCTCTGAATTGTTCTAAGTTTTGCCCGAAACGCTTTGTGTACTCACCTACTTGTGCTTATGCGTGGGGTTGAGCTTTGGCTCTTTGGTCCCGCCTCTCAACTGTCAGTCAACTGGTGTACAGCAACAACTGTTCAATAGAAGTGGCTTCCTGTTGTGTGCAATCCCTGTACTTACAACTGTACCTCTCTTATGCTCTCTGTATGTATGTTATTATGAATAAAGTATTATTATTATTATTATTATTATTATTACATAAAATCAATTATAACATAAACAACATAGACATAGACAATTATAGACCAATATCAAACCTACCCATATTATCAAAAATATTTGAAAAAAAATATTTACAAACAGTTCTATTCCTACCTCGTAGAATTTGACATACTCAGCCCCTGTCAGTTTGGCTTCCGCTCCCAAAAGAGTACCAACGATGTAATTATTAGTCTCCTTGATGTAATCTACTCAGCTCTTGACAAAAATGAGTTTCCAATTGGACTCTTCATTGACCTGAGAAAGGCCTTTGATACTGTTAATCACAACTACCTCTTACTTAAACTCCACCATTATGGAATCCGAGGCCTTGCCCTGAACTATATCTGATCCTATCTTAGTGATGGACACCAATGTATAGCCATCTACCATTAATTCTACCATTAACCGTAGGTGTGCCACAGGGTAGCATCCTACGACCTTTCCTATTTCTTATATACATCAATGAGCTGCCTAATGTCTCTAACATTCTTAAACCTATATTGTTTGTTGATGATACTACCCTCATCTACTCAGAACCCAACCCACACACATTAAATAATGTTGTGAATAATGAATTTAAAAAAGTCCACTTATGGATGTCAGCCAACAAACTCACACTAAACATAGAAAATACCCACTACATCTTATTTGGAAGCAAACCAACAAATGCAATTCAGCTTCAGATAGACAATGTTTTGCCTATGTTTTGGAAAATTACTTTCCATCAGTAATAAAAATGATGGAAAGTTTCTTGGCCTATACCTAGACAAGAGACTCAACTTCAGCACCCACATACAACACATAACCAAGAAAGTCTCTAAAACAGTTGGTATACTCTCTAAAATCAGATATTATGTACCTAACTCTGCTCTCCTCTCACCATATTATGCACTAATCTATCCCCTATCTTAATTATGGTATCTGTACATGGGGTTCAACCACTGAAAACCACCTCAAGTCCATCTTCACCCAGCAAAAATCTGCTATCAGAACAATAACAAACTCTGCTTTCAGACAACACTCAGCCCCCTTGTTTAAATACCTAAACATGCTAAACATATTAAACTCATTCCACACATTCACTTGTACCAATTACATTTATACAACCCTGTTCTTAAATGCAAACCCTGTTCTGAAACTCTTCCTGGAAAGATGTAATAGGACCCATAATCACCACCAGAAATAAATATCTCTTTAATATCCCCAGAGTCAAACTTAATCTGTGTAAACACTCTATGCAAATAAAGAGACCTAGTCTATGGAACTCACTCCCTAATGAATTGAAAAGCTGTCCAAATTTTGCCTTATTCAAAAACAAAATAAAAAATTACCTAATTTCAACTTTATAGTTTCCTATCTTGTGGTTGAAACTTTCACTGTATCCAGTGCTACCCAATCCCCCAATATGTATGTAAGTACCTAAGTACCTAAGCCTAAGTACCTAAGTACCTAAGCCATACAACTTTACCATTGTGATCATTGCTGTCATCGTAAATGTGCTATCAATATGATCTATTGTGCCTATTAATCTTTATCAAATTATCAACCAATGCTATTGATAAAAGCTATCAGCGTGGTTTAATATACCTACTAATCTCTTTCAATTTTTTCCTACAATGTACCTGTTAACATTTTATGTATTTTGCTAGAATTTACCTACTTAATATTATCTGTTAGATTAAGGACCTGCCCGAAACGCTGCGTGTACTAGTGGCTTTACAAGAATGTAAACATAATGCTATGTACTCTCATAAACCCAATGTACCTTCTTGAAATAAATAAATGAATATAAGGAGCTATAATTATACACATTTGTTTATCTAAGTCTCCCCTCTAAATATGGTACGTTTTCTTTCTTAGAGAACATATTTGAGAAAACGTTTTCAACTATTTAACTGCCGAACTCAATAAATTGTAAATTAATAATTTATAAGATTAAATTATAATATAATGTAAATTATTAAAATATAATTGTGGCGCTTGCCGTTGTAATTCTATATTAATGGTGACGTTATATCTAACAGATCAGCGTTTGAACTATTTTAGTGCTGGTTCACCGAAAAAAGTTAATAAGCACCCAGGTTTATATTATACAATATATTTATCGTTTAAACACCAGGAAAATGGTCTTTTCTGGGGTTCATACGCTCCCAAGTCTAGT